TTCGATCTCACCCCCCAACCTCCGATACAACACACCTACCCGACGTCGACTGTGCCCTCAAAGTCCTGGGATTGAAAAACAGCCCGCCACTGGTAATGTATGTGCTCCAATTTCCGACATCCTTCAAGAGCTTGCGACACTCGGTCGGCCGAAACAAACGGAACGTCCAAGGGTGCCCTCCTCAGGATGCACAAGAGCATCCAACAAACACGAAAAACATTGGGGCACCCTCCCCGAACCTACCTCGATCTGATACCTCGGTCCGGCCGTAACGCCCGTTGGCTTGTGAAGACTCTTGAAGAAGGCTGATGGACGCTGCTGCCCGACACACTGCAGAGAGCCCTACGAGGTTCCCAACGGTGGCCAAACTGCCAATTGTCTCTCGCTGCCTCCTGCCGCTCCCTGCTGCGACCGGGAAAAGGGTAGGCGGCGCGCCGGGGGGGAAGCGAGAAGGGGCGTGCCTTCCGAGAAGGCTCGGAAGCCCCCCGGCCCTCTGAGAATTTGTCTAAGCCTCCCCCCGAGAGACACAGACAACCTCTCAGAGGGCTGGAGGGCTTCTGAGAAGTCCCGCCGCCTTCGGAGGAGGCCTTCTCCTTTTCATTCCCCCCCCCCGCCCGCCGCCGACAGGGGGCCGAACACTGCCCCGAAGCCCTCCGTGGATGCCTTCTGTCACGGCGCCGCCTCGTCCCTGGTCCGCGTCGGTGCCCCTCGCAGCGGCCCTCGATGCTCGCACCGTCGACCCGTAGCATAAGGATGCACGACCAGGGTGCAAGGGCATTGGAAGGCCATTTCGAAGCTTTTTGGATGGATGCGCGATGAGGACGTGAAGGCCTCGGAAGGCCATCTCGAAGCTTTTCGAGCGGGGCGCGGCCAGCGCAAGCGGCCAAGGATGGACCGGGGATGCATGGATGCAATGATTAGGTCGGGCATGTGCTCCTAGAGGCGGATTCTGTGCGAAAGACTACAAATACTCCAACAATGCTTAAAAGAGATTCGAAAGTTGTTAAAAAGTAGTCCCAAAACTATTTTTCGACTATTTGAATTTTCCTCCTGTAGAGGGACGGGCCCGACTTAATGCAAGGGTGACCTCGGGAAATTGCCCATCCTTGCCTTGCGGGTTGCCTGTCAGGCCTCCGCGGCGAAGGCCTGGACGACGGCATCGGCCGTCCCCGCCTTCGCCGCCACCATTCTGCCGAACACCTCACGCCTCACCGCATCTGCCGCTGGATTCCTGTGTCTTTTGTGGTTATCGTTCTTCCCCCGGCGCCAGGATGTCATTTTCCGCCCCCCTGGCCCCTGCCCCTTCCCTGGGGGTAGTTGTTTAGGTCGGGCATGTCCTCCTACAAGCGGATTTAGGAGAAATTGAACATAGACAAAATAACCAAGCAGAGTCAATCAGAATAATGATCAGATCGTCCCCAGACTATTGTTGGACTATTTTCGAATTTAACTTAAGATTCGATGTAACTATTGTCGGCCTACTGTGTGGAATTATTTCGAACTATGTTCGAGCTTATTTGTTGGACTATCGTCGGACTGTTTTCGTCGTAGACACACATGCCCAACCTAAGCAAAGTTAGTTTTCCGTCCTGGAACCGTGTTTGATGTTTCCAAGGCTCGATCGTCGCCCCTGGGAAGACACGACGCCGAGGAACAACGCCGGGGCCCCAGCGCTCCGACGCCACGATCTCTGCAGCACGGGGCCCCCGAAGTCTTGACCCACTCCCGGGGACGGGCACTTCACCCCGAGCCGTTGCTCCGACTCTCCAGGGGCCCGGCGAAGGCCTCTGCAGAGGCCGAACGCGGTGCAAGACCAGCGCCGTTTTTTTCCGATGCGTTGGCTCTCCAGGAGGGCCCAGAATCGAATCGAGAAGTCGGATCGGCGATCGAAATGAATCGGCAGCCAAGTCGGGAAAAGTCGAATCGGCGGACATCGGCAGGCTTGTATCCTCCAACGAGGAGTTGGAACCCAAATAGGAATCCCAAGCCGCATCGAATCGGAATCGGAAGCCGTCGAAAGCGAATCGGATCGAATCGGAGAAATCGACACGAGCCCTGGATCTCGGGGGAGGAGGAGGAGGACGAGGAGGAGGAGGGGGAGGAGGAGGGGGAGGGAGGAGGGAGGAGGAGGGGGAGGAGGAAGAGGAAGAGGAAGAGGAAGAGGAAGAGGAGAGGGAGGAGGAGGAGGAGGAGGAGGAAGAGGAGGAGGGGTAGATGTGGGCCTTCGCCCCCTGGCGGCACAACTGTTAAGAGCACGCCGCCGGGGGGCGCCTCGCCGGCCGGGGATGCCGAGGGACCCCCCGCGGCAGGGGCCGGGGCCGGAAGCTGCCAGACACCCGTCCGAATACTTTTGTGTCACGGGTCGGCTCCCTGGCCGCGGGGCCTCGGGCCCAGGGATCCAACGCATGGCTCGAGTAGGAGATATACTACAGACTTGATTTACCCCAAATTTGATTTGCTCGTCGAATCTACAAAACAACTCGTCGAATGCTCGCGAATCTACATCCATCCGACGTATCTACCTCGTAGCTTCAACGAGCATGGTTCAATTCTGGGGCAAGTCAATGCTGTAGTCGACCCCCCACTCGAATGGCGGCGCGCACCAGAGGGTAGGGGGAAGGGGGAAGACTTCTTAGAAGGAGGCTGCTTCTTAGAAGGCGCAAGCAAGGCCCGCCGCTTTTAAGAAGCAGGGGTGCTTCTAAGAAGCTTCCCCCTCTCCCCCTACCCACCCCCCTGTGCGTGGCCGAAACGTATGGGTAGAGTCAAGACGGCAGATTTTCACGATGGTCGGCCACTATAGAGGCCCTCGCTGGGCCCGGGGACCTTCCAAAAACGACGAAAGGTGGAAAACCGGCACTGGGGAAAGGGTCGGGACCTGCGGGGCATGCTGAAACGATCTGGATCTCGCATGTCCGGGCCCGAAAATTCTTGGGATTTCTTTCGGCTCCCTGGCCGCGGGCCTCAGACCGGGCACCGGAATCGGGAAGGCGAGCGTCTTGGATGAGGAGCCACTGGATGAGGAATCCATGGTCTGGAAGCCGGCGGGACTCCAATGACGTCACTGCCGCCCTCATCAGATAAGGAATCCTCCAGGGTCTGAATGGAGAGGAAGAACACGGGGACCATGACCACGACTGAGCGCGAAAACGTCGTGTCAATCTTGGTCACCGTCCATCCTGGGCAGCGCTAAATCGTGGATCATCCTCGAGCATCGGCCACGGCCAACACGGACCACGACCAAGATCGGCATCGACAGGACCCCGCTGGGTCCTGGCCCCCGCGTCGCTTCCCTCGACGGAAGCCTTGTGGGCGCATTCCTCGACCAACGCCCCCACCGCAGGGGCGCCTCGGGATCGGATCGGAACCGAACTGGCCTGCTCCGCCGAGCGCGCCTGGCCGGGCGTCGCGCGCGCGCCGCGCGCGCGCGCCGCGCGCCACGTGCGCGAGGGCGCGAGCCGCCACAGGCCGAGTGCCGAGGTCTCGTGGAGGGGTCCCGAGCGAAGGGCACTCCAAGGGGAAGGGCCCCCCAAAGCGAAGCACGCAAAGTTAGGATTATGTTGCTCCCGTCGTGCTTAAGAAGGACCACATCCCAGACATAATTTCGAGCACCCGGAAGAATATCGAAACAATGTCGAAAGAGTACCGCCTCCCAGGGCCCGACACGTGACAGCCCTCACGTTTCGGTACTGTCTTGGTGCTCGAAATTCTTTCAGGTGATCGAAGCTAGAGTAGGTTGGGACATCATAAGCTTAGGAGGCCGCATTGAGCCGGATTAAATGCAGGATGGAGTCGGATCAGGCCAAACGAGGCGGGGCGAATTAATCGGAAGTCAACGGGATTGTGCCGAGTTGGTCAGTTTTGGGTCACGGCTATACGAACGCCGATGCTGAACTCAACCTCCAAAGAGTTGCATTCCAAGTGAGGGTACTTGGGCGTCCCACAACGGTGCGGTGACATACCGTGCGGTGACCTCGAGATCCCAAGAGACCTCACCGCACGGTCTGTCACTGCACCACTGGGATCCTGGCTCTCGGAGAACGGCCCGTCCAGAAACCGTGCGGTCACTGCACCGCTTGGATGCCCCCGAGGTGCCCCTCCACAGCTAGGCCTGTTCTGAGCCCTCGTGCCAGCTGAGCTTCTCGGGCGACAGGAACGGGTCTCGGAGGGATGGGGTCCTGAACAGATGTCGCTGAAAGGGCCGTCAAAAAATGACCCCATTCTGACGAGCTGGTCCTGGGGAAAATCCCGTGCCCGTTCCCCTCAAGATCACCTGTCATGGCGCGACTCAAGCGCCAGGCCGAGCGATCCCTTCGGAAGGCCCGAATACGCTCCGAACGTGGGTGCTCGAAGGGTGTGTGTTTGTGTGTGTGTGTGTGTGTGTGTGTGTGCGCGTGGGTGTAATAGTGTGGTGGAGTGCCGAGTCGAGAGCGCCGCCCGGAACGACCGAAGACGCCCCGAAAGGAAAGTGCACGCAAATGGAACAAGCGATGGAACCTTTCGGGCGAAACAGCAATCGCATTTTGTCGGGGGAAAGAGGGGAGCAATACCTGATGATTTTATGAGCCACTGTATCGAGGGAGAGGAGGACGAGGACGAGGAGAAAGAGGAGGACGAGGACGAGGAGAAAGAGCAGCAGGACGGGAGGAGCGCAAGTATCTGAGCGCAGAACGTCTAGTCTTTTCTTCGAGGAGCGCAGGTAGCTCACCGCAGAACGTCGGAGCAGGAGGGGAGGAGGAGGAGGAGGAGGAGGAGGAGGAGGAGGAGGAGGAGGAGAGAAGGAGGGGGAGGAGGGGGGGGAGGAGGAGGAGGAGGAGGAGGAGGAGGAGGAGGAGGAGGAGGAGGAGGAGGAGGAGGAGGAGGAGGAGGTGGAGGAGGAGGAGGGAGGAGGAGGGGGGGGGAGGAGGAGGAGGAGGAGGAGGAGGAGGGGGGGAGAAGGGGGAGGAGGAGAAGGGAGGAGGAGGAGGGGAGGAAGATGCGGAGGAGGAGGACGCAGGCGCCACCTTCGAGAGGTCCTTCTCCTCCTCTATGAGCGGTATGGCCATCTTGGCCAGCCTCTCGCTGCACCTCCGCCACGAGAGGGGCAACTGGCACAGAACGCTGACGAGAGCCAGGGTCACCCGCTCGCCTCTCGGGCCGGCCCCCCCCCCAGCGCCCTTCTGCCGACCCTCCTCGCCTCCTCCTCTTCCTTCCTCCTCCTCCTCTGCTCCTCCCCTCCTCCTCCTCCTCCTCCTCCTCCTGCTCCTCCCTTTCCTCCTCCTCCTCTTCCTCCTGCTCCTGCTCCTCCTCCTCCTCCTCCTCCTCCTCCTCCTCCTCCTCCCCTTCTGCCATCCACGGCCTTTTTGGCGCAACTTGCCACGTCGTCTGGCTGGGGCAGGATGTCGGCATCCGCGATCCATCGGCAGCAGGACGGCTGCGGCACCCCCGTAGGGGGGGGCCGCCGGTGCTTCCTCGTGGCTGCGGCAGCCGCCAGAGGGGTGCCGAAGCTCGTTCGCGGTTGCCCGAGGAGGAGTAGGAGGAGGAGGAGGAGGAGGAGGAGGAGGAAGACGACGAAGCCCTCGAATGGGGCTCCTTCGTTTTGGGATCGCGGCACCCACTAGAAGGCGAATGCTGTCCGAGACGGTATCGCGGCCCACGTTCCCAAGCATCCGACGCCATGTTTTTTTCACAGCGTGGCACCCTGGAGGTCTGGACTCCTTCCCGAGGTCCGGTCCTTCATTTTGAGTAATGTTTGATCGGTCCTGGGGCCCTGCGAGGGCCCTCAGAAACCTTCCAAGAGCCTTGTGTCGTGATTATTTCACGTCGTGAGGAAGTCAGGGTATCATGCATGTGCCCATGGGCTGCCATAGCATACTGCTTGACCTGACCTGACCTGACCGCCCTCCTTCCTGTCATGCTTAAAGGCATTCTGGATCATGCTGCTGTGGTGCAGGCCTCGCCTCCCCTCTGCTGACGCCGATGCCGAAGTCTGATGGGCGCTGCCGGTGCCTCGAGGCGGCCCGCGCCGCCGCGATGGCTGCGCACTCCGCGGCTGGGCTGGCCACAGCTGCGGGGCTTCGCGAGGCTGCTCGCCTCCTCCGGTCCAGCGAGGCCATGGCGAGGGCGGCGGCGGCGGTGCTGGCGTCGTGCACTACGGGACCCACAACTCCGCGGGCGGCCGACCAGGCCGATGGCGCGACTGTCGCTGCTCCGGTTCCGGCCAGGGCGTGCCCGCGTGGCAAGAAGAAGAAGAATAAGAAGAAGAAGAAGAAGAAGAAGAAGAAGAAGAAGAAGAAGAAGAAGAAGAAGCAGCTGATGCAAATCGAGGCGGCCGTGGAGTGCAACGATGCAGCGGAGGTGTCACTCGTGGGCGGTGGCCCCGTTGCCTCTTCTGCACCGCTCTCGGCCGACGCGCTGGAATTCGAGCCCGCCCGCGTGCTGAAGCCCCAGACGTCCCGCGAACGCTCTCCACGGCGCGGCCCGGTCGTTGCTCCTGCTTCTCCGCCTTCTGCGACCGCCGCTGGTTCTGCTTCTGGTACCGCGCGCTGCGATGTCAACCAGCCTGTCGCCCTTGGAGGTTTGGTCTCGCGGCCAGGCCTCAAGGGCATGCGTGCCACCGTCCTGTCGTTCGACGAGGCGGCGGAGCGCTACGCGGTGCAGCTCGACACCACCAACGAACGCGTGCGCGTGCGCGGGGCCAACCTGTGCGCGTGCGGCTGACGGTCGCCCTTGGCGTTTGTCGGCGTGTGAATTCACGTGTGCAGATGGGCACCCTATCCTGGTAGATGCTGCTTCCAGATGCTGTCTGCATCACGCTCGGAGGAAATCCTTCCTGTCATCTTTGAACAAGACGGGTCATGAGGGAAACGGGTCCTGGACCCTGGGCACCTTCCAAAGCACGCGTTCTTCATCCTCGGTCGTTCCCTGTCCATCCCGGGGCCCGGGGAAGGCTCCGCGAAAGCGGCCAACGACCTTCCGTCTCGATGGCTTCAAAACGCGAGGATGTGGGGCGTTCGGGCCATAGCTCGGGCCTCTGGCGGCCGTTCTGGACGTTCTGGGCACCTCCGGAACGCTCTCGGCGAGAACGCACCCGAAGAAAGATAACCAAAGAGAATCTACGTAGACGCCCGAACACCCCGAACCTCGAACCCGAAAGCGGAGAAAACTCGAGGACCCGTTCCACTCAGGGCCCCATCCCTGAGATCCGACGTCTCGAGCACATATGAAACATCGTGACACGTCCCGATCAGAGCCCCGGACCACATCTTTTTGTTCCATGTCTCGAGCCCGATCCATCTGTGATGGCCCCGGGGCCCGAACGGAGGCAAACGCGCCCGGCTCGAGCAAGCTGAGACGCCAAAGTCTCGGGGATTCCTCCCTGGCTGCACGCCTTCCGCTCTTCGCGGCCGGGCGGGCGAGGACGAGCTGCGCCCTGCGGGGTGGCACGGCCTCCTCCGAGGAGGTCGGCCCGGGCTGGCGCCGCCGAGGGGCCTCGCGGGGAGACGAGCGGCGGCGCGCGCGGCCCGGGCGGAGGAACGAGCGAAGCGGCCCTACGCCAAACGCGCGTGGGGGCAAGGCACAGGCGCAGCGACACGCCAGAGGCGTACATGAGCAGACGATAGCACGCCCAATGCGTGCCCAGGCGGCCTGGGCGCGCCAAATGCGCACCGAGAGGGCGGTGGGGGGAGGAGGAGGAGGAGGAGGAGGAGGAGGAGGAGGAGGAGGAGGAGGAGGAGGAGGAGGAGGAGGAAGGAGGAGGAGGAGGAGGAGGAGGAGGAGGAGGACTAGAGTAAACCCAGGACTCATCAACGATGTTGGAATACACCTTCCCTCCAAACTCCCTCTTGAGAGGCCCCTGCAAAGGGTTCCTTTCCACTGAAAAGAGTGTCCCCTTGGGGGGCATCCGTGTGCAAACCTGACGCTTGGCAGAAAACCTGTCTCAGGACTTCAATTCCACGAGTTAACCTGACTGTTGCGTCTTGGCGATTCTGAATCGTGCCAGACCACCATTCCTACGACATCACACCGCGAGTCAACGTAACTGTTGCGCCCTGACAACCATCCAGCGCTCCAATACACCATTCCTGGTACTTGAACCATGAGACTATGCGAATCTCTTGCAGCAGGGGAACAACTGTACGCGGCGCTGAGGCGAGAACCACATTTTGAAAACGCGCCGTCCTCAATCCGTTAAGTTCTTGCAATAAAACATGTGCGCTGCGCTAGCGCGAGAACCACATTTTGAAAACCAGCTGCCCTCAACCCGCGAAATTCTCGCCATTTTGCGAAATGAATAGGCGCGGCGCTAAGGCGAGGTGAAGCTACTGCCAACTCTTAAGCTCCAGGGTCATGAATGATGAGGAAGTCTTTGGCGAAACGCCCAGCCCATCCTTTCGACTTGCCTCGGGGTGCGATGGGGATGTTTTTTTTTTTTTTTTTTTTTTTTTTTTTTGCAAGGAAAAAGAATGGGGGAGGAGGAGGCAGATGATGATGATGATGATGATGAGGAGGAGGGGGAGAAAGACGAAGAGGAAGAGGATAAACAAATGATGATGATGATGATGTTGATGATGATGATGATGCTGATGATGATGATGCTGCTGCTGCTGCTGCTGATGATGATGATGATGATGATGATGATGATGATGATGCTAAAGTGTGTGTGTGTGTGTGTGTGTGTGTGTGTGTGTTCGCCCGGACACGGGCGAAACACGGCATCAACGTGAACCCAAGGAACCCGCGCGGGCCTCTGAAAGCTTGTGCCGCTACCACGTCTCGCTCCCCTGCGGGACACGCGCAGCACCGTTCGTCGCCCCGCGATGCGACCCAGTAATCTGCGCCGACCTCCGACAACTTCTGCCGATACCATTTCTTGCCCTGCCGATCCAATAACCGCCGACCCCAGAAATCCGCGCGGACCTCCGAAAGCTCATTATGACGCAGTGTGTTGTTTCTCGACCGCTCTAGCCCGAACGCGGACTGTCGCCATTCGCTGCGACAAACAAGGACAGTTGCTCGAATCCAGCCTTGGAATTCGGTACGCGACCTCCAGGGCACTGCCGAATCTAAACTTGGATGACGTCCTCCTCGCTGTCGTCGTCCCCTTTCTCCTCCCCCTCCTCCTTTTTCCTCCTCCTCTTCCTTCCTCCCCCATCGTCCTCTGTCTGACGCTCCCCCCTTCCATCCACCCCCAGCGCCAACAAACATGCACAATCAATACAACACGCGTCCAAACCCGTCCTCTCCGTCCTCCTCGTTCCCCTCCTCCTCCTCCTCCTCCTCCTCCTCCGTCCCCCTTCCATGCTCCCCTCCTCCACCTCAACATGCGCCCTCCCCCCTTTCTCCGCCCCTTCGTGCCTTTTCCAGCGGGAAGCAACTCCACTTCCTTCCCCTGCTCTTCCTCCCACCTCCTACCCTCGCTTATCTTCCTCTTCCCACACCCTCCTCGTCCTCCCCCTTCTCCAATTCGTCCCCCTCCTCCTTCCCCTCCTCCTCCTGCTCCTTCTCCTCCTTCTCCTCCCCCCTCCTCCTTCCTCCCGCCTGCTCGCCTTTTAAGCCGCCTTTGACGTGGTCCGACACGATCTCGCCAAGCTCTGTCAGTGCCTGGTTCCGCCACCTCACCACCTTGGCGTCGGCGGCGTCGCCCGCGCCGCCGAAGGCGGCGACCTCTGACGACGACGTCGACCATGACGACAGCGACGACGCCGACGACAAGGACGTCGTCGGCGTCGTTGTCTTCGTCCCGTTGTCATCGTTGTCGTCGCCTGTCGTCGTCCCCACAGAGGAGGGGGAGGAGGAGGAGGAGGAGGAGGAGGAGGAGGAGGAGGAGGAGTTTTTTGCCCGCCCAGGAACAATGTTCAAGAGGCGTAACAGACAGGGGACGGTCAAGCGGCTTGACTCTAGGGTACGTGGGCCGCGATGGAGCGTGTTCAATCCGAGACGTACCCGCCCGAGGATCCACGCGCGCACACTCCCCCATCACGGCCACCAGACGCTTCCTAATCCTACCAGCAAGCTTCTCATCGTCCTGGACTCGATCGACTTTGGCCCCTGAAAGCTGGAAACGACGAGTGGCCGCCTCGGCCTGGCGGTCAACAGTGCTGTAGCCCTCCCTCCACGGGTCAGGGATGCCTTAAAACTCGGCCCTGGAAGCGCCGTCGGAGACCTGGGTCCAAGCTGGGCTCCTATACTCAACCGCTATGGTACAACAGCTCGAGGCACAGCGTCTGAGCCTAGGACCTCGCGTGTTGATCCCACCCGACCAATCACCCGCCACCCACCACTCCGCCCCAGGGTCTGTGCCGCTGCCGCCTGCAGCGCAGGTCCAGCTCGATTCGATGGGGTCATCACCTGGCGGGGTGATCTCTGCGCAGCTGGGCGGCAGGAGGCCTCTCAGCCAGAAGACTGGAAAAGGACGAAGCTTCCTCCAGGGCTCTTTCCTCTACACCCTGCGTGTCAACACAAGCTTGCAGATGACAGTGGGCAACACAATTCCAATAACGGTGGACACCCGCCCCGACAACACAAGCAAAGCAACGCTGACAGATAGCACTGCGCTCCTCGACCGTGCCTTCCTCGAGCAGTCGTCCCCTGGACCAAGTCGCAGCCGTGGCCACTGCCAGGAAAAACCACCTGAAACGAAGGGCCTGCTGGGAGCCTTTCTTGTCCAGTGCAAACAGCCACTGGCGGATCGAGTAGAGGTCGAGGTCCCCTCGGGCCCCACCCCCTGGTAAAACTTGGCCACCCGACGCCGCAGCTTGGCCCAGACCGACGCGAGGACCTCTTGAATTTTTTTCCCGAATTTTATTATCAGTCAACGACTGTCAGGAGCGGCAGGCGTCAGCCTCCCGCTCAGATGGACGGCGCGCGGATGTTGCCGCCGCCCTTCACGCAGCCCACGGGGCCTCCGTGGCCGTCGGTCTGGTGCCTCCTCGCAGCAGTCGATCAAGATCAAGATCCGTTCGACAACTGCATTCGTGGCACAACTCTCTTGCAAGAATGCGAGACGAGCTTCCCGTCGTCGGTGGTGTCCGTTTGCTTGACCTGGTGTATCTCCCCCTTCTTGCGGATGTTCGTAGTAGTGCCTGGTGTATTTCTTCTGCTGACCTCGGACTTCGTGAACTTGACCTTTGTGTCTCGATTCCACCTCGCACCCGTTCCTGGTGTCCACTCCTTCTTGCGTCTCAGCGACTTGAGCGCGTACCTTGATGCTTGTCCAGCTGGCCATCCTTCGCAATCCTTCAGCATCTTGTGGCTCAGGTGCTTCTCCGCTGTGGCTCCGCATGTCCAGCAGACGTAGCGCTCCTTGTGCCTTGACCAGCAAATGGCGTGCGTGTGGTGGGATACCTTTCCTTTGAGGACTACGTTGCGAAGAGCCCCTTCGTATCGTTCGTCCTGTTCTCGAGCTTCGCCTTTGCACTTCTGGAGCCACCATCTCGCTGCCTGTGAACGCTGTTTGCGGCCAATGGACTCTTTGCAGCGCTCGCATCTCCACATGCGTCCATCAGGTCGTAGTAGATGGGGTGTGTGCTCGAAGAGGTGCTGGTAGTTCTCCTTCACGTATTTTTCCTTCTTCCTTTTGGCATTTGCTTCTGCCTTTTCTTCCCACGTCATCGGCTTCACCCGAGAGAACTGCTCCATGTACGCCTGGCCGGTTCGCGTGCGGACTAAGTGCGATGTAGCCCTGGCCCAGTCGTAGCAGCCCATTTGCGCTTCTGGGATAGCGTGTGATGCCGCCGCTGTCTCTGCCAACTCGTCGGCTCTGAGATTGCCTCTCCATGCCTCCTCAGGCACTCTTCGTTCACGCGCTTGCTCGATCGTCATGTGGCTTTCGATGTGCCTGACCCTGATCAGTTCTTCGCCTCCTCGTGCCTCGAGTCGCTGTCTGATCTTCTTCCACAGGTCCCCGCGCGCCTTCTTGTATCCTTGCTGTAGAAACCTTTTACCGTACCAGCCTTTGCATAGGATCTCCGAGTCCGTGTAGAAGGTGAGCTCGCCGTCCGTTGATTGCAGGCAGTCCAGGAACGCCGTGATCTCCGCCCTGTTGTTGCTCTGTCTCGGTCCAGGGAGCGGGCCGTGCACTGTAGCCTCCTCCTGCCAGTTGCCGCTCTGGTTGTTCAACACGACCCAGCTCCATCCGCATCTTCTGTATCTTGCATCGTCGCCACGCGTTCCTCCGCTTCCATCACCACAGACTATGTGGCCTTCCGTCAGGTACAGCTTGTTGCCGTCGCTGTCGCTGGTGATGTTGGCCGCCGAGCCCGTGCGCGTTGCCTCGTACTCCGTCTCGCACTCTGATGGGGTCGTCCAATCCTTTGGCGTGAGTCCTCGAAGCCAAAACGCTGCCCACTCGGTCTTCCCTTGCTTGGCTCGGTGCACCAGGTTCTCCGTCTTTTTGTAGATGTTGTGGTCGCTCCTGCATTGGCACTCGCCCCAGATGATGTGGAAGTCGTCCGCTACCTCTCCGCATTCGCACATGTTGCAGGTGTCGCCCCCGAACGTGTCCTTCCTCCTCTGTGGTGACCACGTCCCTGCACATGCTGCCGTGAGGATGGCTCCGAACATCTGGTGCTTCCCATACTTCCTGAGGCGCCTGAGCTGCATCTTCATGTCATAGGTATCTACTCCGTGTTGTAGACCTTCGCCGTTGTGGTGAAGGCTGGCTTGCCTCCACCTTGCTTTCTTGAGGTCACTGGTGATGGCGTCGAGGATCACCGTGGGGTCATCATCTCCTTCGTCTGGTTGTAACTGCCATCCTCCTCCTGCGGCGTCTTCCCAGTAGTCTGCCGTCTTCGCGTCCCAGTTGATCTCCCAGAGCTGCAGGATCAGCGCGCCTATAATGCCCCTCCTCTGTTGCCATCTCGTAGCTTTCGGAGCTTCTAGGAGTCGCGCTCGTATCTTCGGCCATGCTCGTCGTGCTCCAGCTCGCAGGTCTGGGCGGCTGGCCCAGAGGTCGAACCACGCCTGGATCTGGTTCCTGGGTATGGTGATGCCAGGGTCTGCGCCTTCGAGGTCTAGCAGCGTGGTGAGGCATCTTCCTGGCCATGCTTTCCTTAGTCCTTTCGCGTACCTCCTCCTGATGGCTGTGAGCTCTGTTGGGCTAGCTCCGTAAGCCTTCGTGCCGTACCCGACCTGTGCCATGCGTCCCTGTTCGATGACCTGTCTGCGGGTACGTGCCTTCTTGAGCTTCTTCGTGGTGGCCGCGAACCTTTTAAAACCTTTGCGCCTCCTTGCGCTGTGGGTCGCTCTCTTCGTGCATGTCTTACCTGCTCGATCGAGTCCTAGGTCTCGCCCCTCTGTGGCTCCTCTGATAGTCACACCCAACTTTTTCAGTCTCTGGGTTGCCCTCTTTGTCGTGTCGAAATCCGTGCTGAACAGGACCGATTTGCCCGCCATGGAGAGCCCTTCCGTGTTCAGCGCCTTTGCCAGCTCGTAGGTCGCCTTGACGATACAGTCCTCCACCTTGGTGATGCTTCCTACCGCCCGCAAACCGATGTCGTCGAACCAAGTTCTAGGCTGCACCATTGGGACGAGGCTGGTCATGGACTTCACCACGTGGTAGATGAGAGTCCTCGCTAAGTTGGGGCCAACCACTCGAGTCTCTGGGTCCTGCGGAAGCCACCCGTGGTCCAACAGCACCGCCAAGACCCCAGAGATAGGCCCAGAGACCCGAGCCCATCGGCGGTTCCCCTTGGCCCCGAGGAGCCTGGAGGAGGAGGAGGAGGTGGAGGAGGACCAGTGGAAACCCAAGAGTCATCAACGATGTTGGAATTAACCCTCCCTCCGAACCCCCTCTCTTCATAGGCTCCTGCAACAGTTCGTTTCCACTGGGGGAATTCTCTTGTTGGAAGACAACCGTTTGAAGCCTTGAAACATGCCCACACGCCATTCTCGGGAGTCTAACGTCACGGATCAACCTGACGGTTGCGTCTTGAAGACCTTCAATCGTGCCAAAACGCCGTTCCTGTGACTTCAACACCGCGAACCAACGTAACTGCCACACCCCCACAATCCGGAGTCTTTCCAAAGCGTCATGTCTGGTACGTTGGACACAGGAATCCACAAAACCCTTGTAAATCTTGGAAATGAGTGTGCTCTGCGCCAAGGCGAGAACCACATTCTGAAAACGACCCGCCCTCAGTCAGTGCAGCTCTTGCCTTTTTAAACGACTGTGCGCGGCGCTACGGCGATAACCACATTTTGAAAGCCAGCCGCCCTCAATCCGTGAAGCTCTTGCAACTTTGTACAACGAACGTGCGCGGCGCTAAGGCGACACGTAGCCACATACGACCAGCCCTCTGGGCGCAGGTGGTCTAGGGCGTTTCCTTTTCCAGCCTCCTGCCTTTCCCTGCTCGGGAGGTTTACCTCCCCCCTCCCTGCGTCTGGACGGGCCCCCCCGCGATGTGTCAGAGGGTCCTTGTTGGTCCAAGATGGCTCCAAGAGGGCTTCAGACAGCGCAAGATGGCCTCCAATATGGTCGAAGATAACGGCATATGGGTCAAGATAGCCTCCGACACACGTCCAAGAGGCCTCAAGACGGGCCCAAGACTGATTAAACTGCCCTCCGAGGCGTCCGAGGACCCCCACAGGAGGCCATCATCCTTCAACCACCTAATGAAAATCAATGTTTTTGACTTCTCGCTTTTTCGCCTCCGATGGGCTCTTGA